GCAGGGATAGTAGGGTAGATGTGGATGGGGGAAGGGATTTGAATGTGATTAAACACATTGTATGAAATTCTCAAAGAATCAAAAATATATTTTTAAAAGATTCTGGGGATGAAAATGTTCTGTGTCTTGATATAATTGGCATAAAGAGTAATTAGCTAAAGTAAAAGCAGCAAACGAGTGGAATGCACAGGACTCTGGTGAAAGGAAAACCAGGTCAGAGCCCACTATTGTATTTGGGGGGGGCGGTTGGTTTTTTTAACAGCTGTCTCAGTCTTTGTGCTTGAAACAGACATGTGTGATCACATTCACATTAACAAGAGAATGAAATAACCAAGAAAACAGCACTTACTATCTATATTAACGATAAAATGTTGAATTTAAGGGTATTGTTTTTATTTTTTATTGAACTTTTTGTGTTTCATACAATTCATCTAGATCATTTTTAGACCCTCTCCCCTATTTACACCTCCCCATAGACTCCCCTGCCTGGTTTCATGCATTTGTTCATATATGTTAAGGCCCGTGAAGTCAAGTTTGTGTCCCTCTGTGTGAGTCCATCGCTGGAGCTTGGTCAGCTAGTCTTCATGGAGGAGGCTTCCAGGCCAGTTCCAGTTAGATTGTTCCAAGTCCTGTGTCCAAAGTATGTCCTGTCTTCAGAAATAGGGTATTACCTTCACGTTCCGGGCAATGAAGGGCTTGTATCAAAAGCCTGTGTTATTTTGGGAGTCTCTTGGACTACCCTGAACAACAACTCAAAAGGACGTTTCTCCTGTCTGGCACTGTGTTCTTTGTTACATAGTTTCCAACAATATACATGCACTAATATATATATTTCAGTGTATTTTTCAGTAAGCTTCTGAACTAATATATTAGCTTCTCGTTTTTCACACTAAACATTTATATTTTAAATTTTATTTAAATTTATTTTAAAATTTATTATTTTTATTTTATGTGTTTGAAGGTATTGCCTACATGTTCTCTCTCTCTCCCTCCCTCCATCTAACCCTCCCCATTTTTCCCCAGTTAAAGTACTCCATTTTTTCCATTGCACTCTTAATAATACATGTCTCCTATGATCCCCCTCTCTTAGGCTCCTTCTTCCCCTTTACCTCCATAGTTCTTTGTGTAATCTTCCCTCCTCCCTTCCCAGTTAAATATCCCATTTTCCCCATTTCCCCCTTGATAACACCTGTATCCTACTATCTCCCTCTCAGACCCCTTCTTTCTGAGGGTATTGTGTTTTGTTTTGTTTTTTTTTGTTTTGGGGGGGAGGTTGAGACAGGGTCTCCCTGTAGCCCCAGCTGTCCTGGAACTTGAACTCAACTCACAGAGATCTGCCTGCCTCTGCCTCCGGAGTGCTGGGATTAAAGGCATGCGCCACCACGCCCACCCAAGGATATTGTTTTTAATGATATTAATGCCACATTGTTCAATTGATGTTGAGGTCTGGTAGTGTTTAATTTTTTATGACTCTTTAAACTAAATTTTGCTTCTAACTTGTGATGGCTAATCCTGGGTGTCAACTTGACTGGATCTGGGATTAACTGAAATGAAAGAGATCTTCTTGATTGGATTATCTGAAGCTGGAAGACACACCCTAAATGTGGGTGTTACCTTCTGATGGCAGCTGGTATAAAAGGCCATGGCAGAGGAGCACCCTGGGCTTCTTGCTGCTTGCCTTCTCTCTTGCTGGTGAGTTCGTCTTGCTGCTATAGACTGAAGACTAACTGATCTTTTGGAATTTGTCAGACCCTCAGCACCAGATTGGGACTACTGAGACATCCATCCTTGTGGACTGAGCGACTACGGATTCTTAGCCTCTCCAGTGTGGTGTAGCCATTGTTGGACTACTCGGACTCTATCCTGTGATGTAAGCTGATAAATCTCTATACATACGTATTCATTCTACCGGTTCTGTTTCTTTGGAGAACCCTGACTAATACATAACTGAAGGTATTATCTCTTGCGCATATTGATACTATTTGATTATAGAATGAAAGGTCTTGCTGAGACATTTCAATTGTGGTTAATTTGTACTTCCTAAAGGAAATGTAGTTTCTAAAGGACAGAAGTGCAACAGCCAGATGTCTACCTTGTTGCAAAGCAGTCAAGTCATGAAGCCTGAAGTCACTCATCTGGTTAGAGGAAGATCTCAATACCACAACATGAGTTGAGTAAACCCAGGATAGCAGGACAGATAACATTTCCCGGCAGTTTGCTTTGCTCATCACTGAAAAGTGTTGGCAATTATTAGTGTTTGCCTATAAGTTCGTTACTATGATAGTCAAACTTATCAAAATTAGAAGTCCAAAAGTATTTCCAATATCAGCTTCCTACTGTGCCCCCCAACTCTGTGTGTTTCCTCAACCTCAATGGTTTCCCACTGTAGCTGTACTTCAACTTTAGATGCTGACTTCACGGTTTAATGCCTTGCTATTCCTGCCTTAAGAGCCTTCATAATTATTATCAGTGCCCAAAGGGTATGATTTCCCCCTTTTAGAGTGTCTTTAGTGTTTCACTGGTCCTTCCTCTGGCCTAATTCCTTATTCTGTGGACTCCTTTGCTTTGATCAGGTGTCTTTGTTTCATGTAGAAGTGGTATCAGACCGAACATGTCAAGCAAGTGGCATGGCTGTAGAAGGCATGTGGTTTGCTTGCCTGGATATGATCGAGTCCACCTAAGGCACAACAGGTCTTTCAGGATCTAAGAACAGACTAGGGGTACAGTTTTCAAACACAATCTAAGTCCTTTCCTTTCCTCCAGCAACTTTAATATTTATTATACTTTATTTGTGTGGGGCGTGGGGTAGAGACATGCGCAAATGCCGCTATGCAAGTGTGGAGTTAATTCTTTCCTTCTGCTCCTTCCACCCTGTAGATCCCAGGGATGGAACTCAGCTCCATCAGGCTTGACAGCAAGCATCTTAAGCCACTGAGCCATCTTGATGACCCCCTTCTTATAACTTTATCCTCGCCTGCTATTCTAACTCCTCCCCAAACTCTATCCTGGAGTTATATTTGTCTATATGCACTCCACCTCTGACTAAGAGCTTCTTCATCTGCTCATGATTCATTTAGCACAGTGTCATTAGTGTGAAAGGGGTGGGCAGCAGAGTTTAGCTTCTGACATATTTGCCTAACAGCTGCTATTTCTTGGTCATCTCACTCCTTTCATTATAAGAATAGAAACGGGGCCTGGCCTCCTCCCCCTCCTCCTCCTCTCCCTCTTTCC